AAAATGAGGTCTCGGGTAAACTTTTTATTCCGTATAGAAAGAGAAGACCAAGGGTTAGGTCCCCCGGCTTTTTTCTCTGTTTTTTCGGAAAATTGATTTTTTTTGGGGGGGGGGGGGGGGCTGAAGTCATAATCTAGTGATGAAAAGTTATGATCGTTTTAATGATATTTTTACTAAGATCAAAGCAAGTAATTCTCAAAAACTCGCCGCAAAGCTTGTTGGCCTGAAATTTTGTCTATAGACAAAATTATAAGTCAATAATCTTTGCTTTAGATTTTTTAGGAAATGCCTTAGTCTTACATTAATAAAAATTTCAATAAAACGACAATAGCTCTTGATCTGAAAGTCATCGTAATCACTTGCTCAATTTGTTCACCTTCTAAGTCTTTGCAAAGTTGTAATCGCTCACGTACTTATTCACCAGGGCTCCGAATGGGCCGAGAGTGTTTTCAAGTTTGCTGGGAAAGAATATTGGGTGGAACAATTTTTCGACGTGATTCGATGAGAGGATTGCTGTGTCTCTTGGGTGAAACTATTTGTTTCACGATAAGTCCTCTTTTCTAATTAGTACAGCGCTTTTTTCCGAAACTTCGAGCTTTATCAGATGACCAGCGCAAAAATTTCTCAAAAAACAACTGTCACAATTAGAAAAAAGTACTTACGGTCAAAAAAATAGTTTCACCAAATAGACACAGTAATCCTCTCATCGAAGCACGTCGAAAAATTGTTCCACCCAATATTCTTTCCCAGCAAACTTAAAAACACTCTCGGCCTATTCGGAGCCCTGTTATTCACACGCTCGTCGACATAACTTCACTCGCAAGTTTCATTTTATTTATACACTTTTGAACAAGTTTCTGCATCTTTGAATACTATCATCTTGTATATGCGGTAAAAAGATGAGATCTAATTGAATATTTACAAAGAAAAAATTTGAAAAACTTATTTGTCTTGTTACTTTTGACTCACTCTGTGTATCTATAATTATTTATGAAATTTCCTGGAAAACAAATTCTACTTACACTCGTTTCATTTGCTCGTTTTTTTTTAATTGAAATAGTATTTCTTTCGACTTTAATCAGATCTCTATTAATATTAATTAATTCATGTTCATTTGTATGCATTTGTTCATCGATTGAATTTTCTTTCTTTTCAACATAAGAAGATGTCATTTCATTTAAATCCCAAACTTTTTTTCTTAATTTTGCCATCAAAGGAATGATATGTGCTTCGGTTGTAAAAATATAATGATTTGCACCATGTTGATTTAAATAATTATCTTCATCAAATAACTAAATATATATAGAATTATTTATTAGGCTTTTAAATAAATGAATATTTTCAATAAATAATCTTACCAAATATAAATATTTACATGTTTCACTGAGAAAAAATGATTCCATACGATCTTCAAGAGTTTTATCTCGAACATCATGCACAGTAGCAAAACCACATCTGTTTTCAAATTTAATTAAAAAAAAAGAATACAAAAATTATTGATATATATATATACATACTCCACTTTCGTATAAGTATTTAAATTATCTAAAATATCTCTTCCAACATGTAAATAAAAAGGATTTTTAGTTGCTTGATATAAAAAATAAGTTGATTCGATAAATTCTGGTCTTAAAGGATAAAATAAAACATCAGGCATTTTTATTTGCCAATTAAAACGTTCAGGTAAAACACCAAATTTTCTCCATATTGAATAATAAAGTGCATGTAAACAAATAGCTTCATCAATATCACCACGTAAAACTTGTACAGCAGAAAATGATGCTTGTAATGCATCAATCCATGTTGTTGCTAATTGTCCTGTATGCATATTAACATTAACAAATATTGGATGAATACCTTCTTCATCCATACAATTAACTCGACTAAATAAAAAAAAATTAAAAAAAAAAAAATGTATATATTCTATAAAACTTGAACAAACCCTCGACGAAGATATTGAGTTACACTTTGATATGCATCATCAAACATAAGTAAATCAGATTCATCTCCAAATAAAATATAATTCTAATAAAAACAAAAAGAGATTTTTTACGAATATAAATGAAGATATATCTATGAAATTACTTTAAGAAGATATTCAAAAAATGAATCAATACCGGCGCCAAGACCTGATAATTGACCAAGCCATTCACCACTATTTACATCAATTACACTACCTAAAATAGAAAAGATTTAAGATATATTCATGTCAGTTTATTGATAAATTTGAGATCAATGGAATAGACTGTAGAGATTTGTAGGATAAGTTTTTTTAAACTCTAGCTCCACTATACTTTACATTTTTATCATTTTAATTCTACCCTATGCTTCAGGATAGCATTGACAGGTAAGTCCTACTACACATTCTTCTTACTGTGAAGAGTTCTATCTTGCTTCTAAAATTCATCGCATGGAAACTAAATGATAAGAACTGATGATTTTTTTTTTGTTTGTTTCTTAAAGTTATATGCAAATCATTATGATATCGAATAAAACATTTATTAATTGATAACATAATGTAACAAGTTTTATATTACAGCCAGGGACGTAGCCAGGGGGTGTGCACAGGGTGCCCGGGCACACCCCTTGGCCAAAAAGCATCTGGAGGGGGGGTATGGGTGAAAAATCTTTCTGAGAAACAAAAATTTATTTTTCTGCTGGTGTGCACCCTCCATAATGAGTCGGGCACCTCCCTTAGAAAATTCCTGGCTACGCCACTGATTACAGCTATATTTCGTGTGATAAAAATTTAAGACATTGTCTAATATCATCATTGGAATAGGTTTAAAATCAATGCTACATCATTAGAATCCGTCAGATTCGTATCCGACATGCTTCAATGATTATGCGAAATTTGTTCGTGTTCAAAACAGAATCGAATCTATCGACATAACTATTTGAATTAGTCTCATTTATCTTATAGGATTCGGATATAAAGAGCGCATATAGGTTAAATAGAATTAATGAAAGGGTATTATACCTTAATAAATTTACACAAAACTTATCCACCTATCAGTTAATACAAAAAAAAAAAAAAAGGATTCATCACTCTTAGTTTCTTGTATGAAAAATAAACAAACCTAATAGTCCCGTAACATTATTTCGTTTAGCCCATAATGAATGAACAGCTCGTCGAGCAACTTGTTCATAAACTGGATCTCCCACAAGTCGACTTAAAATACTAAATTCTAATGAAAGGGATCCAGCACCTGCTGTTGATGTATCATTTCTTGATCCATCAACCACACCGGTCATTAAATTTACCTAAATATAATAATTAAAATTTCTTCTAAATTATTGATCAAACTAATATATCTTACACGAGGATATGGTAAACCTTGTGGAGTTCTTTCAAAAGCAGGTAATAATCGTGATGCTAAATCATGAGCAAGATCAAGTAATTCATTATCATAATCTTCTATTCTTAAATTGCCGAAGGGCTGTAATGGATCAACAATTAATAAATGTGCTGAGAGAAGTGCACCAAGTACACTAAAGCCAAACAAAAAAAAAAGAAATATTAGTAATTTCATTGACTAACGACATATTTTCGAAAAATAGAAATACGTGTATCTCTCGACTTTGTTTTAGCTAATTTTTATATGTTAAATGTATGTTAAGTTAATTTAGACACCCCGAAAAACTAAGCCTTTAGATTTTTATCCCACCAAGTTATTTTTGCAAGACTAGCGTTAGCAGTATGATATAAAGAAGAGCAAACATTTTCACTGTATGGATTTTCATTTATAAATAATGAAAGTTCAAAATATATTTTTGAAAATCAAAATGAAGTATTTTTTGCAGAAGACTCTTCAGACGACAAAATTTTGATTAAAAGATTTTTTTTCTTAATACGCTTAGGCTTTTCAAAAAAATTGAGCTTATTCAGTTTTAACTATGTGACTCATGAGGGAATCATCAACAGTGATATTTGCAGTTTAAGATCATACTTTTCTCACATTCAATATCTCAACAACAGAGAAATTCTACGAATCATAAAATTTCTAGTTGAAAATTCAGTAAAACGATCATAATTCGCTTGCAACGGTTCATGGAGCCGAATCCTTTTAGACATTTGCTATCCTCATCAAGGCATATTTATCGATCCTCAAATGATGGGTATCAGTTCCACGTGCTTCCCTCATGAGAACAAATAAAGAAACAAAAAATTCATTCAGAGACATGTGCAGATCTCTAGAAAACTGGTTTTTGTTAAGGCATATTTTTCACAATTAGATCTTACTGAAAACTTTACTATAGATATAGTTTTCCTACTTAGAGTCTATTCTGAAATTCTTGAACTTTTCTTTCATAAAGGTTAGAAGGTTATTTGCTAATTATGCTATAATGAATTAAATAAGTTTAATTAGATATGAGTTGAAAGAGCGAATCTTTTTTTTTTTTTACATATGTTCGTAGTAAAAGAAAAATAATCCTTATAAAGATTCGAAATCATATTGAAGATGATTTTGCCTATATTACAAGAAAAAAAAATGAAATATTTATTTATCATACCGAATTGTTGCTTCAAATACTTGTATAGTTGAATTTCGATCAAAATGAACATGATCAATAACAAGTTTAACAGCATGTTGAAATTCAGAAAAATTTCCCATAACAGCAAGTGTATCAAGACTATCAATTAATGTTAGAGAAAATTCTCCAAGTACATCATTTATATTATAATTTTCACTATGATAAAAAATAAAAATAAAAGAATAAAAATATTTTTCTTTTTTACGGTCTTTCAATATCAGGTCCACGTCCTCGACAATGAATAGGATCAAGTTCATCTTGTGGAAAAGCATATTTCATATAATTATCATATCCAAATTGAAACATTTGTCGAGCTTTTTCACGATATAATAAACGTTCAGATCGAGAAAAATATAAATAATGTTGATAACGTTGTTCATTAGAAATTTTCGTTATATTTATATTATTTATTTTTAATGAACTATCAGGATGATAAGCAATTGTAAAAACAAATAAAAGTAAACTGAAGATAAATATGAATATAGCCATGAAATATCGTGGATGTAAACCTAGCTATCGAAAATATTTATTAATTGATGAAAAACATAAAAAGAATAACGAACGAACAGAACAAGAAAAAGATTTTATGAAGAACTCACCATTTAATTCCAATTTTAACATTGTAAATCTGTTCTTTTTGTTAAACATATAGCATTTTGAAACCAGTCAGGTGTTTTTACGTGTCTTCGAAGGGAAAAAATATATTAATGATGACTCAAACTGATGTTAGCGACGCCTTTCAACAGCATATAATACAATTGACACACTAGCGCATTAGAGATAAACCGAAGTACGCAAACACACATCATAGCATGGTCAACGATAATAACCAATCATTAAAGAAAAAAAAAAGTTAAAAAAAATTTTGTTTATTTTTTTTTTCAGACGACAAGAAAGTTAGAAAATATATTTTATTATTTTAGATTTAGATTGTTTTTTTTAAATCATAATTTATTGCCCAAATAATGGCTCGTGGACGTAAGTTTTCTATGAAAATTTTGTCTTGTTTTTTTTTTGTATTAATTTATAACAAACAAAAAATATTTGTTAGGTTTCGATCAAGCTTCATCACACGTTCAATGGATGGTTATTCGTAATACTTCATCATTTTTACATAAACGAAAATTGGGCACATTTACAACTGTTTGTTAATTAATTATATTCATTTTGCATTTGTTTTTTTTTCTTTTTTATTCATTTAAGGAACCAAGCAATTTAAAAAACCGTAATACCTTCCGTTCTAATGGTCTTATTCATCCAAAAGTAGTCGGTGTTGAAGCTGTTAAAGATGGTAAAGGTGTTGTTTTTACAACTGGTTGTGTTAAAAGTAAGACTTTAGTTTTTTTCTTTTTTATTTGCGAAATAATTATTTATTTATTTAGATATGAAAAAACCAGCTAAACGTCTTCGTAAAGTTAAACTTACTAAGGATTCACGTCGTACATTGACAAGTATTCGACGAACAATTCGTAAACAATGTTATCGTAAAGATCTTAAGATGGTTTGTTTAAATTTTAATAATTGATATGAAAATGTCTCTTTTTTTTTTCTAGGCTGCTCTTCGTCGGGCATCAGCATTGCTTCGTGGTCAACGATTAGCTTTAACAACAACTGCTCCGACAACTAAAACAGCCAGTAAACGTTCAGGCAAAAATGCAACAGCAGCAACAGCAACTGCATAGATAATAAATTTAACATTTGTGAAAAAAAAATTGTTTTTTTTTTTTTTCATTTTGATGTTAACAAAAAAACAAAATATTTAACGAAAGAACAGAATAAAATAAATAAAAAGAAGACAACGATTATCTTTCAATTTTGATATAACTTAAAAATAATTATGAAATTTTAATCCATAAGAAAACAAGTTTGTATTAATGATTTTTCAAATTTGAATAATTCCGAGTTCGTACAGATTTAAGATTTTCTCAATACTATCAAGTAAATTGCTTTTTTCAATGTTTAAATTTTATGAGAGTGTGACAAGATAAACATAGATGTGTTTAGAAATAGCTTCATTGAGAAAATTATCGAAAATTTATTGTTATGATTTAATGTTCTTTTATAATTGAATTTGGACTTTTTCTGTCTCGGTTAATAAAGTTAGTTTAGTCCATAGAGAATGATTTTTCAATCATATCAAATTCATCCTTGAATTATCGAATGCTTATTTATGACCATGTACTTATGAAGGAAATATTCTGAGAGGATTCGTGGTCATGACTCTCTTCGTTCTGACTTATCTTCAAAAAATAGGATTTTTATTATTTATTATGAAAATATCATTTCTCTATTAGGTGTATGTGATAGTTCCATATAGGAATTTTCGTACACATCATGCTATCCAATTGATCCAGATTTGTCATGGTTCAATTCGAAGAGAGTAACATAAGTTGCAGACTTAGCCTGAAATAGACCTGTCCTAAGACTATTCTCTAGTCAAGCTTCTTTTTTTTATGCTCTTGAGCAATTTTGGAAAGCGTAGATGTTTGAACTTCTTGTTCCATTGCTTAACATTCTTATTTACTTGCTCGAGTTCTTGTTCAAGTGTGTGTAAGAACCAGGGCTGCCATATCCTAATTTTCAAATGGGGTACAAGAGATATGAAATGGGGTACAATTGAGGTACAATTTTTTCTACAATGGGGTACATCGGTGAGGTACATCTTTTTCTTTTCAAGAGAGCAGATTAGTGGAGAAAAAC